GCTCGGGCCGAGCGCTGCGCCCCCCGCCGGCGGGAGGCCGGGTCTCCCGGGTCTCCCGGGGCGGCGCCTTCTCCAGGCAGTCGCGGCCCGGCCGTGAGCGGCGCGCAGCATGGGCAGGTGCTGCTTCTACACGGCGGGGACGCTGTCCCTGCTGCTGCTGGTGACCAGCGTCACGCTGCTGGTGGCCCGGGTCTTCCAGAAGGCCGTGGACCAGGGCATCGAGAAGGTGAGGCTGAGCGGGCTGTGCGCGCGCGCGGTTGTGTGCACGCGTGTGCGCGTTTGGGGCGCTTCTGTCCGACCCCCGCTGCAGCCCCTTCGCAAAGGAGCCCCGCGCCGGAGCAGCCCCGCGGGCCCGGGCGCTCCTCCCTGGGCTCCCGGGCTTGGCAGGCGAGGGTTAACGCGGATGGGGAGGGGGGCGTCGCCGCTGCTCCCTCGCAGCGGTAGTTGGGACCGCGCTTCGGACTTCTTAAAACGCCCCGCCCTGGTTCTCCTGTGCCTCTCTCCCCGCTGCCTCCCTGTACCCCAATCTCGGCCGGGCCAGGCTTGCCTCTCCTCCCACTTCCTGGCGAGACCGACCACAGCAGAGGCGCCCTGGAGAGGCCGGTTGCGCAGGGTGCAGCCGCAGCCCTTGAAGTGGTGCGGGGCTGGGCGCGGGGTGGGCGTGCGGCCTGTGGTGCTCTCGCTTTCCTGGCTGGGCAGGGCGGGTGGAAGGCTGGCCAGGCCTTTGGGCCGGTGCTGTTGTCTCGGTCGCCGCCTGTGCTCAGCGCCGCCTCGGCGGCTTCGAATCTCCTACAGACAGGCTGTGTTGCTTTGTCTCCCTGTGGATTCTTGTTTTCAGCCAGCCATCATTTTCAGGCACTGGATGCAGTGAGGTCCCTGCAAGAACCCGAAGCTTCTTCCCCAGACGATGGGACTGGAGACTTCTCCATCTTTTGACTTCACTGGCCATTTCTTCTGCCCTTTCACCCACACCCACCAAGCTGTGTCCAAAGAGGAACAAGAGAGAGTTTCTGGGATCACTTTTTCCTTAAAAAGGGAGGGGGGAAATCATTGCGAGCTTAATTTCTCCCACTGGTCTGCACTTGCTCTGGCCAGACCAAAAAAAGGGGGGAAAAAAGCCCAGGCTTAGTCCAGCTTGAGTCACTGCACTCCCGGGTTAGTAAAGCTGTCTTATTCCAGGTGACACTGGATATATTCTTTCTAGAATAATCAATTACTTGAAATCTGGCAGTTAAAGGTAACTTTAACGACAACAACAAAATGATGGAAAGGCATAATTTAATTTGTTCAAAGTTCCCATTGCCAAGGAGGACAAGGCCTACGATCTGAGCTCCTCAAAGATCACTGTATCCCAGAGCACTCATGTTTGAGGGAGAAGAAATGGAATCCTTTCTCCACTCCTGTCCACATCCAAATCCATGGCAAGATGTGTTTGAGGATGTAGGTAAGCTTTTGCTTTGGATGACTAGGTTAAGCAATCCAGTTGTAGACGAGATGTGATTTTCTTGTGTGGCTCTGAAAAGCTGTTTCAGGGGAGCCCTATGGGATGAGTGATCTTCCCAGTGCCTCAGATTCCCTGTGGGCCTCAGAGTCTTTGTAGGTCGCCATTTCACTGGGGGAGGGTGGCTGTAAGGCAACTTGGCAGGGGCCTGAGTTTGTGTTGATATTTCCGAGTGGTTTTCTCGATGAGGGATGGAAAGTATACTTTCAGAACTGCCTGGCCTCAGCTAAAAAGTGCTCCGCAGTGTGCTGTAGGAAAGTAGAGGATGGACTGGTTTCAGCAGACAGACCTGGGAATTTTGTTATGTACACAGAAGTCAAGCATTGCTACTGTGCTCTTTCCTGGATTACCTGTAGTGTGGCAGGTGGCATGGGATAGTGGGAAAGAGTGAGGACATCGCAGGTAAGCACTCCTGAGTGTGAATCCTGGCTCCACCATGGACCAATTGGGTGACCATGGGCTAGTTGTTTAATCCTTCTTGATTTCATGGTTTCCCCATTTGTAAATAGGGATAATGCATATAGAAAGGTTATAAGGATTATTTGAGAAAATGGGAATGATTTTTCTGGGATGCACTATAGTTAGTGCTTAATAAGTGATAGAAATTTTATTTTTATTAGAAGCCACACAAAGAAAATTCATGAAAGTTGGAATCAGACTCCCTATGTTCAAATCCTAGCCTCACCATTTACAAGCTTTTTGGCTTTGGGCAATTTACTTAACTTCTCTGCGTCTCAATTTCATTACTTGTTAAAGTGAAGATGTGGGATATTAGCTGTCTTGGGCACAGCCACACATATGCCATGAAGCTCACAAAGCTGAGACTTTGGGTCTCTCACTCACCCTCCCAGAGCCTGATCCTGTACCCAACACTAGCTTATTCTTAGCAAGGTCCCCTCAAATGGTGTCAGCTTCAAGACCCACAAAACCTGATCTGCCTCTGCCTGTGTGTGATTGTGGAACTAGGTGTAAAGCTGTAGTACAGTGTCAGGCATGGAATATGGGATCAGTATAAAAGACTGTCGTCATTATTTGCATTATTATTACCGTGGACTGATTCGTTCATAATTTTAAGGTAGTCATAATATCCACTCTGATGCTGACAGCTCTTAGCTTTTTTTTTGAAGATTGTCGGTGCCCTGGCTTGTCTACATCAAATGGGAAGAAATTCAAGTGAGTAGGTTGGGCTACTTGTGGGAAGCTTAGCAAGATAATTCCTATCAGAAGAATGTGTTTCAAGTGATAATTGTACTTGAACCCTGCAGTGAGCAGAGGTAAGAGAGACTTTTATTTTGGCCAGTGAATATGGTAGATGGAACAAGACAGTTTGGTTCCATTTATGGCCTCATGGTGCCTACCTGGTGTTGGCAAACCCTGTAATTATCTCTGCTTCGGCTTTCTCATTTGCGGGAGAGCATAGTGGTACCTCCCTTCTGCCACACTCACCCCGGGGGAGATTATGAGCATTAGTGAGGCCTTCTCCAGCCAGCAGTCTGTTTTCCTCCTAGGGCCTGGAAGGAAGGACTTGAAGTTACATTTCGTGTGGCAGGCCAGCTAATGGTCTTGACACCTAGCACAGGGCCTGGTACATGCTACATGCCTGTTGACTCACTTGTGATCGTTTTAATGGAAAGAAGAGTGTCCTGAGAACCAGCAGAACTGGGTTAAAATTTCCTTTTCATCCCTAAGAAATACTTGAATTAAGCTGAACACACAGAGCAGCACATTATTTAATCCCTCCAAACCTCAGTTTCTCCAGTTGGAAAATGGGGATAATAAGAATGCCTACTTCCTAGGGTTAGCACAAGAAGAAAGGGAAATGATTGCTGTCAATCACACAGCGCAGAGCCTCACCAGTGCCTGAATGGTAACATGTGTTACTGTTTTTAGCTACTGTGTTTCATCTGTGAATAGAAGCTTATATAGAAGCTAAGCTTTCTTCCAGCTCTAACCTTCTGAGATCCTATGACATGGGCACCTTTATTTAAGAGCAGCTGTGCATCTCAATATTAAATGTGCCCTCCTGATCCCTACAGACGCGGTGACAGGTCAACCATCTCTCAGTAACAGGGATGCAGAACTGGCCAAAGTCTGGACTGGCCAACAAGAGTTGGGCTGGCGAGGGAACCCGTGAGGGGGCAGGGGACTTTATTCCTGTTACTTCCTCTCCACCAGCCAAGGAAGGACTGTAGTATTAGGTCTCAGGAATGAGGCAACAGGACAAATACTCTTACCTCCGCCTGCAAGAGAGTACCAGCTGCTTTTTTGGGGGAGCCATGGCAACTTGGGAGCTGTTCTGTTGATGTCTCAAAAAATAGGACAGCATCGCTGATAACCAAATAGCTTTGATTGGTGCATATTTCAGATCTTCTTTTTAAAGGTTCCATCAGTAAACCTTTTCATTGCTGTGCATGTCAAGACAATCAACTATATAAAATCTTAAAGGCTCCTTTTCTGATCATCTGCTTCATCTCCTAAGTTGCCTCTAGGCAAAGTTTTAGAAAGAGGTAGGAACTTATTCTAAGATTTTTCTTAATCAGAAAAAAACTCAGAATTACTTAAATCTGTTATTTTATTGTCAAGGAAACAGGCTTAGGGTAAGTGACCTACCTAAAACCAAAGGTAGAGGCAGGCAGTTAGTCATGTCTGATACTGAATTTCAAAGGTGACTGGATGTCCGGGGTAATCCCACCTGGTTTATTTGTACCTGTTGTTCTGGCATAATTACCAGCACTCTCTCCTCTAGGAGATTTTTGGTATGGACAGCAAAGTCTATGCCCACTCCACCCCCCAGCCATGCCACTTTATCCCCACAGACCACACTGCCTCCTTCTTGGCATTGAAGAAGAGCAATGCTCTCTAAAGAGCCGAGGTCTGCTCAAGCTAGCTCTGGCAGGCAAGATAGGATGTTTTTTCTCTTCTCAGAAATGTAAGGCTAGAACCTCAGCACAGCAGGGCCCCAGGAGCATGCAGTAGACAAGGGAGAGACAGCAGGAGCCAGACGTTAGGTGTCTTCTACTCTGTCCTCTGCTGTCTCTGCCAGGGGCTTTCTTCCTCTCTCAACCTGCCCCAGCTCATTACTCACCTCAGGTGTGCCTGGCCCCACCTGTGTGTGGCTTGCTGGTTGCTGCACCTCCCATAACATGCTCATCTCCTCGTTTCTCCTTTGCAGGTGTGTAACAGGGTACTGTGATTGGCTCAGCCCAAGCAGGAGTCATAGGGCTATAAACAGAGGCAATATCATTCATTTCCTCATAAGATTCTTTAACTCCTAAGCAGAATTATTCAGTTCCTTCCCGGTTTTTAGAAGTGTGGTCCTGTGATACCAAAATCACATTGTGTTTCTTTGTGTCTCACGAGTTCATGTTGACCACAAGTGCATCCGTGATTGATGATTATGGCAGTGCAGTAGACTGGCAATTCTCGTTATGGTCCCTAGACCCCAGGGAGAGGCATCAGAGTCACTCGTGGAGATCTGGAAAAGACCAGTTCCCAGATCTGCTGAATCTGACTGATTAGCAGCAGGACCCAGTGAAGGAGATGATCATGAAATCCATGCATGGTTTGCAGATTGACTATTTTAGCCATGTCTTCTTTTTTTTTCTTTTTCAAGGTTGTTTTGACTTTTAAAAATTATTTTATTATGGAGATGTGGGGTACAGGTCAGGATTAGCTACACATGTAGGCTGCATGCCGGTTGAAGTTTGGGCCTCCAACTGGTCCTC